ATGCTAGGACCATACTTTGCGCCCTTCCATTAGTGGCAAGGTGATACCTATTTAATTGTGGGTTCTTGGAAGAAGGACAAATAAAAAAGGAAGGAAGAAAACCCTGATTTGTTGCATTTACCACTTTCCCCGGTGTAAATATTCTTGATGTGGTTGTTTCAAGATGTTAGCATAATGTATCTGGTGGCAAAATTCCCCCCAATTTAATAATTAGATAATTGGTATAAGCTAGCACTGGCATACCATTAGAATTCACATCAAACCGCTCTTCCACAAGACTACATTTTTGTAAACCTATAAGTTCCTTTGGGTTTAAGCCACTTTAGATTGGGTTTTCTTTTTCCATATTGGAGAGTATTAAATAATATAAAGTTAACAGACAATGAGACACTTTCCAATAAGTTGCCCTTTGTCATATTAGACCTACACAGTAACCTCGTAATAGGCAAATTCTCACCAGTTTCCCCATCTTACTTATAGAAGCTGAGTCTTCAGGAAGGTATGAAGTCGGTCTATTCAGGACCTGCTACATAATTTTTCAGACCTCATGCAAAATGAAAATATGTGGTCCTTTGTTCAAAAGTAATTAAGAATTTTAAGGTGGAGACAGCAGAGTGCTAAACCACGTGAGAAGCCCTCCTCAGCATGAGGGCCTGTGCAACTCACTGCACAGGTCACACGTCCACGAGGGTGGCAACTCACTGCACAGGCCCTAGATCCACAAGGGTCTATGTCACTCAGCTGGTAAGCAGCAGCGAAGGCATGTGAATGCCATTCTGTATGCGTCATGGCATGTAGTCCCATATTCTATCACACACTGTCCCTGAAAAGGATCTATCTGTAGGTACATTACTGGTATTTCTATGCAGAATTTCTTATTTAAATTACTAATACTAATGTTTTGTATAGTATTGTTGACTGCTTTCAAGCAAACGCACAATCTATACTTCATTCACTCAAAGATTTCTATTTGTAACAACTATATATTAGATTACAATTATACCCAATCTTAATATCTTATTCATATTATATTTTCTTTAGGTAACATTAGAAAGAAATCTGCAATAAATATATTGAGTACCTTTTTTCACTTTTCAGACAAAGCCAGAAAAAGAATATACTATTTTGCATATTAGATTTTTAATCATCTGCCTGTTATACTTACCCTGCCCCCTGCCATACATAATACCCATTTGCTTCATTTTTTTTTAAACTTTAGGCAACTCTATATATCCTGGGGATTTAAAACATATTCACTTTTATTTCTCACTACAAAATTTCAGATATACTGTAGTTACTTCCTTCCTCATAGAAAACATGGGCTTAAGTAAAGCTGTTTACAGCACAGTTATTATTTTCAAAATGCAGAGCTCAGTTTAGCAAGTTTTATTATTGAGTTCTCATATTCAAAAACAATTATATCTCATTACAATATTTTATGATATATGATAATGAAGTAATGAAGTGGGAAAAAATACATGTAAGATAACATTTAGAAGTTGTATTATCCATTTTTATGTAACATCTGTGATCTACTGCTCAATTTTTGATGATTTTAAAAAGAAAGTTCCCCACCACAAAAAGCAGCTAAAAAATGCTTCAAATTTAATCTATGCAAACAACCAGCAGGTAGTGTATCATGAATTATAACCTAGAAGCAGGGGCTTAATATAAACATTGTTCTCAGCATTTCTATTTTCTTGTTGACTAACTTAGGCTATTTAATTTTCATTTATTTCTAAAATATTAGAAGCTGAAATGTGGCAGCATGGTTCTCTCAAAATGTGGCAGAATGCTCCAAGTAAATCAATATATTGATATATTTTAATGATGATATTCTCAAACATTTTGGAACTAGAGTTTTTGTTAGTGAATAATGAAAACAAATGTACCACCAAAGAAGACACATTTCTACCTTGGAAGAGAAATGAGAGCATTTCAACCATGTATTATTAACCCATCACCCAGAGTGGGGTTACCTGCTCAGATCTGTTCTGTTGTTGGTATTGGTATTGAGCAAAAGCATTCTGGGAAGAAGTAATTTCATCCTCAAAGTGTTTCTTCACCTTGGCCAAACCACCCGGCACTGTGCACATTTCTGATTCTTCCATCATCTGGATGATTTAAGAAAAAAGACATCAGTGGCAATTGCAATAACAACAAAAATAAACAAATGGAACTTAATTAAACTGAAAAGCTTCTACACAGTAAAGGACAAAACAAGTAAAGCAGATTGATAACCTTCAGAATGGGAAAAGATATTTGCATGTGATGAATCTGACAAAGGGTTGGTAACTATTATCTAGAGAACTCAAATTAGCCAACAAAAAAAGAGCAAACAATCCCATCTATCACAAGGCAAGAGACATGAACAGAACCAACTCTGAGGAAGACAGACAAATCTCCAACAAACATGAAAAAAATGCTCATCATCCGTAATGTCCCTAATCATCAGAGAAATGCAAATCAAAGCCACCCTGAGATATCACCTAACCTCAGTAAAAATAGCCCACATCACAAAGTCCCAAAGTTGCAAATGCTGCCCAGGTGTGAAGAGAAGGGAACACTTTTATATTGTTGGTGGGATTGCAAACTTATATAGCCTCTTTGGAAAGAAGTTTGGAGAATCCTCAAAGAACTCAAATTAGACCTTCCATTTGACCCCATGATCCCATTACTATGCATCTACCCAGAAGAAAAAAAAAATCATTTTACCATAAGGACACTTGCACTAGATTGTTCATTGCAGCTCAATTTATAGTTACCAAAATGTGGAAACAACCTAAATGCCCACTGACCCAGGAATATATTAACAAATAGTGGTATATGATACCATGGAATACTATTCATCCATAAAAAGATGGATACTATACAGCTTTTATATTAACCTGGATGGAGCTGAAATACATTCTTAGTAAAGTATCACAAGACTGGAAAAGTAAGTATCCAATGTACTCAATGCTCATATGAAACCAGATGATCTAATACATGTTCACATAAAAGAAAAGCTCAATTCAATTCAAGTTAGGGGGAGGGAGAAGGAAGGAGGGGTAACAAGGGAGGGGGAGAGGGGCAGAGGGAGAGGGACTGGCGTGCTTCCACTTAATGGGCACCATGTAACGGTACATGGCACACCTCTTGGGTGTGAGACAACACAACTACAAGAGGGACTCTCTAACAAATACCAACACTGTAACCTAGGTATTTGTGCCCTTATATTAACCTGAAATTAAAATTAAATAAATCCCTGCCCCCCTCCCAAAAAAAAGAAAAGAAAAAAGAATATTGAGCTTTACAGCTACACCACATGGGAATCTCAAAACAATTTTTTAAAGTAGTTGATAATTATTGAGAGGCAAAATATTAAAAAATATTAAAATACACAATCATTTAAGTAGGCCTTTACTGAAAATCTTAGTAAAAACAGTCACGTCATGTTGTTTTAGCATTTATCAGTCTTTTGATGTGAAATCAGAAGAATCTTCAAAGTATTATGTTAATTTATCTTATCTCAAATATATTTTGATTTTTGCATATTAGACCTGTTAGAGCAATTAGAACATTAAATTGTTCTCTAACAATACTCAGACTAGTGGATATTAGAATAATTAATTCAATTTTAACCCTCATTCAGGTTGTCACTAAAATCTCAAATGTCAATATAGACAAACAAATTATCAAGAATAATTATTAAAATAATTTCACTCACTCTAAATTTTTCAAAAATCATTAAGGATGAACAAAATAAAGAGCCTCATATTATTCCTTGTGCACACTTATTAATAACAGTGATAATATCAGCTAATTAAGGCATAGTTAAGGATTAATAATTTGGTGCACCATATAAATTCTGTCATTAAATGCTTCTCCATATTCTACGAGATATAGACGTCTATTATCCACATTTTAAAATATGGAAATTGACGTGTAGAGAAGTACAGCAGTTGTTGAGTTCTCACAGCTAGGACTTGAGTGTTGGCATCAGAATCTGAATTCACATCTGTCTTATCTTAATTGGTAGTCTCAAAGAATAGACAACGTAACAGAAGTTCTGCCCTCCCAGGATCCGCACACTCCAGGCCTCAGCTCAGTGCATTGGCAGGGCAGAATCAAGGGGCTTTGATGGTAGACGGCTTCTAGTCTATCCTTGCCATATTACAGATAGAAAAACCAATTTCAGTCTATATCACTGGAAGCAACCTGAAAAGCATGGAGGAATCCTGTCAGAACTTACACACACACATAGTTGAGGGCATTGGTTGTGAGGATTCATCACTCTCCAGGGCCTAGCAGGCACTCAAGCCCAGTTGGAATGACAACTCACAACCAACCAGCCCCCACACCAGCTTCCCCTCTTCCAGGAAGTAGCTAGGTCTGCTTGTGACTGGGAGGAGACTCAGCGACACTTCAAATCAGAACAGGTCTCCTGAGGTCTGGGCCAGTCTTTTGACATAACCCTCAAAGCCTTAAGATCTAGAAAGTATCTGGAAGCCCGGGAACTGAGGTTCCCACACAATGGACTGGTGACTTCGGGGTCCTGGAATCTTGACCCAAATATGTTATATAGTTTTTTAAACAGAGATTAAAAATACAGTATTTTGGATTTCTCCTATTCCAGAATATTGCAGACTCACTTAATATTTAGGATTATCTGAATTACTAGCCAATACTCCAGTGGTGGCTTTATCAAGTTAATAATGTTTCCCACTTCTGTAGACTATCATATAGAGTATTTCAGGATATGCACATTGGCTCTATGGGAAGAAGAGATAAGAGCATACACTTCTATGTACTGGATATACTGTATATTATATTATATTTTGCAACAAACTTTGAATGTAAATCCAAATCACTGCCAGTTGATGTGTGTTAAGTTCATTAAAAAGTACAGCATCCCTGTTGAAATTGAAGATAGAGTAAAATAGCAAAAGGATATCTTTTTTTTTTTTTTTTTTTGAGATGGAGCCTCAAGCTGTCCCCCTGGGTAGAGTGCTGTGGCATCACAGCTCACAGCAACCTCCAACTCCTGGGCTCAAGCGAGTCTCCTGCCTCCACCTCCCAAGTAGCTGGGACCACAGGCGCCTGCCACAATGCCTGGCTATTTTTTTGGTTGCAGCCATCATTGTTGTTTGGCGGGCCCAGGCTCAAACCCACTACCTTAGGTGTATGTGGCTGGCGCCTTAGACACTTGAGCCACAGGCGCTGAGCCACAAAAGGATATCTTAAGGCCACAATATTTCTTTTTCCACGTCTCCTATTTAAATCATGTAAGTGGCTTTACTAGATCATATGTAGATAATAAATAAGTATTAAATTATATAAATTGGAGTAATCATTGTTAATAAGACCTTTATTGTTTCAAGAAGCTATACACAATATCTAAATCATATGCAGATTAATCTGATAAATCTCAGTAATTATGCTGATGACTGGATGCTCTTCTACTAAGCACATTTTCATAAAACTTCGTTCCTATAATGGACAGGTTGCCTCTCATCTACCAACTGGATTAAAAAACAGACATACTCATTGGACTTTGGAATCATATCGTGTGGCTGACACTTTTAAACAGTAGTACTAACACTACCCTACCAACCCTACTGCTGCTACATGTATTACACTCCTGCAGCTGCTCACCCACCTGAATGAGGCCAAAGCTCTGACATGTGGTTTAGTGGTAGTGGCAAGGTTCCCTAGCTCAGCTACACTTGGAAATGAGAGTTTCTACATGAGACTTGGCAGGACTTGTTTAAGAAGCAGTCTGTGTCTCCACACTGGACTGATCCTTCTCTGCTTACATGGGGATCATTCTTGTGACTTTTGCCTTATTTACACCATGTTCTAAGTATCCCATGTAATTCATATTGTTATAAATGACTACAAAGCTGAAAATTGCTTTATGTTGTACCTTTTTGTGTTTATTAATATTCTGTGTTTCTTATTTATTCTTTGGCTTGGAAATAGAATTTAAAATCTAATGAGTAAGTCAATAATAAGAAGTTAATTTGAATACCTAACACTTAAACCTTCATAGATATATTACATAGTCATCTTTTTATTTTTCAAATAACTGTCCTTGGGTTATAGGGCATAAGAGAAAAAAAAGTGTCAGGACTTGGACAGATGGTGATTTGAATCTTAATCCTAACATTAAAACCTTGGACTAGATCTTCTGAACCTCAATATTCTTTCTTATCAGTTGGATACAGTGATATATTTCTCACAGTTTATTGTAAGTGATAAAGAAGATAAACGGAATAAGGAAGATTGCACAGCACAGAATCTAGCATCCTAATGCATTGCCCAACAAGTGTTACTGCCACTCTCTCTTTAGGGGTCTTCTACAGAGCACTGCTTCTTCACAGACAGAACTTTCATTTAGATCCAACCAAATGCCATCTGACTAAGCCTAAGACAAAGAGAAACTGACCATTGTTAGCTATCTAAAAGTGACTGAAATGTAGTGGATTCAGTTTGGGTCTGGATTTGCAAATTTAAGACTTCCAGATTTTGCAATTAAAATATTTGGGCTAATTGTGCAAATAAAGATTTGGTCACAAGCACCTCACATGAAGTTTTTGTTTGTTTTTTAAATTGAACAAGTATTTAATCCACCTTGCAAAACAAGAAAATTATTTTGCTTTCCTTTGGATATTTATCAGAATTCTGCTGAAATAACGTATAGGCTCTTCTTTCTCACAATATTTGAGGCCACGCAAATAGGAGGCTACTTGTAGGCCAAAATACTTTCCTGTACAAGAGAGGAAGTTAAATCTAATTAAAAGAGTTCTGGGGTTAAGAAACTAGCATGGCTCTCTTACTACCTAATTTTATAATATACCGTCAGTCACTCTCCCTTAATTTACTTGTCTGTAAAATGGGCATGAAAGAGGATTATTAAATTATTTATATGTATGTTATTTTCAGATTAATCTTAGATTAAAATTACAAAATTCTTAATCAAAATTAAACTTTTAACTTTTTATTAAATTATGGAATAATTTAGTTTACCTATGTGTCCACGGGAAACATTCTTTTAATACATTATAAATAAAATCATATCCTGATACCAATTTGTTTCATTCTCATAGTGTCTGGGAGGATCAAAGGATTCTTAAATAAAAGATTATTTACTAAATCACTAGTCTTTAGGTATTTTCAAACTTCACTGTGTCCTCATAAATCATTTTAATAATTTAGAATATTAATTTATAGAAAAGTTCCCTAACGGTCCAGCAGGCGGTGCTATCTAAGAAGACTGGCAGGAGGCCCCTCAGTGCTACTACTGGTTTGGGAAGTGATCTAGCTACTTATTCCACTTCTGTACATTCATTCCAAATCTATGCAGTGCCTAAAATGTATTTTAATGACTGTGTAAAAAGTTAAATGTCATCTAGAATTGCAATATTGTTAATGAGTTTGGCACAGCCAGCCTTGTCTCTTAAATAATTTGTAAAGAAGAATGTTAAGAGTGGCTATTTTAATATACCACCCACTTTGGCTAATCTCTCTCTCTTTCTCTTTCACAACTTGACTAATTTGGAGATTATAATTATAAAAGAATATTCTGATGTTCCATTATGGTGGAGGCCACAGAATATAGAACCCAGCAGTTTCTTTTGAATATGACTTTATTATACATTGGCTCTAAAAATTGGTGGTCTTACTGAATCCTGCAGTTTCCTATAATCATAATTGGTTTAGCAGAGTGCCTACATTGCTAATCTCTCTCATTTTTATGTTGATTAAGCCTACCCTAATGGATTTAGTGCATACAGAGAAATGAGAAAAGCAAAAGAAATTATACTTCCAGTGAATTTAAATGAACCATATGTGAGACCAAGAAGGGCAGCGCGCAAACCCACATTATTAAAGTTTTAAATTAATTCCCAACCTTCCTGAGGAGAATAGCTATAGTTTAAGTGATAATGATGACAATAATATCATATTTATACAGTGCCTTATGGCTTATACATAAATTAGCTCTCCCATTCCTCACCAAGACCCTATGTAGCAAATGATTATTCCCATTTTTCAGTTTGGAAACCGAAGCTCGGAAAGGGGTTACGACAGCAGCTCAAGTTCACATAACTAATAAGGAGCACAGCTGAAGCTTAAATTCAGACGGTCGGAATTTGTTTCACACTACTTTGTGCTCTTTCTACTAGAACCGCTTCCTGAGCGTTCTTGCATTAAGGAGAGAATTTGGTCATACAGTGAGCCTATCGCCTAATGCCGAATCATTAGGAGCAGCTTACATTTGCAGAGAAGCTGCGGCAGTCACCCCTGGAAACGGCTTCCTGGTATCTTGCCATTCGCTCCTTCAGAGACACAACCTCTTGGAGGTCTGATAGGCCCTCGCCCTGAGCAGGACTGTCTTCTGAAAATCCACTTGCAGGTGTATTAGGGCCGACAGTCACTGAAAGCAAATGCAGAATGCTCAGCTATGTCTCAGGCTTTGAAAAGAGAATAACATCACCTTATGAACAGTGAAGACATTTAAAACATTTGATCTGGTAAAACAGACAGTTTAACACGTCTCAGTATTTTCAGTGTTTCATGGTTACCCTCTGTTCTTCAAACCTTTAATAAGAAAAGTTTAGCGATGTCTATATAGGAGCATCTGCTTATGTAAACGTGAGAAAATGTGTCTTCCCTCCTACTCCTGCAACTATTCTGAAGAGAAAGAGTCATTTATTAATAGATAGTTAATGTTAATAGCTAACATCCCGCAAGCGCTGACTATGTGTTGGAGTTACGCTAATGCTAGGAGGGCATCATCTCAGTTACTTCTCTAACAACTTTGTGAAGGGGGTGCTAGTATTTTCTAAAATTTGTACATAAGAAAACAAAGATTCGTGGCAGTTAGGAAACTTTCCCGGGATCACACAAATGATAGGTGAAATCTTTGAATATGGCTTGACTAAATCTTTAGCAAGTCTAAGTAAAAATTGCCCTTTGCTTTATTCCTCACACCTTCAACCCCCAACCAGATACATATACATTTGGCTACAATAAGCTATTGGAATTGTGGACTGTGGATTTTATCCTTATTCACAGAAGCAGAGATTACATAAGAAAGAAAGAATGCGTTATTAGAAACAGTTGTGTTAGTCACCCATTTCAATGATCCTGATACTTTCCTATTTAAACCAGGTACCTGGCGAAAATGTAAGGTAGAAGAAATCACATATCTGGAAACAGAGTAAAAGACTGATTATATGATTACAGAATAACAGTCGCTAGAAACAGAGAGAACTTACAGATCATCTGGTGTAACCCAGTCTAATCAAGGCTTTTTAGACATAAGAAAACATATGCCTAATATATTTTTTTATGTCTAGGAAACATGAGGACCTTCCATGGCTATATTATTCTCCACGGTATTTAGCTTATATGTGCTAGAACTGGTCATAAAACTAGTTTTTTGTTTGTTTGTTTGTTTTGTTTAATGTAGTGTTCTTTTCTTGATGGTTTACTATTCACTTTTAGGGACGCCTTCTGGGACCCATCAGGGCATGATATGGGGGTGTGTGTGTGTGTGTTTGAATATTTACTCGTGGGGCTGGTGGTTTCTGGAGCTCTCGGGATAAGGCACTTCAAAGAGTACTTTATTACTTAGGTGGGTTGGATTTAATCACCGTGAATCACTAGAGAACCTCAGGCAATAGCCAGCCAAGCTGTTCCTTTTCCTCTGTGTTCTTCTTCCTTCTTCCTCAGATTTCAGTCCCCACATTGAACCATCTTATTGAAATTTTTTGCTTTTCCTAATTATGGCCTTCAAGGTTTATGTATACAACAGCAGTGGAGAACAACTTCTGTGACCCAGAAAACATAAAAAATAATTTGCATTTTGATTTTCTCCCTGAGTATGTGGTTTCCATAGAGAGTTCTTATTCAGATAAACATTTTCATGTAGTCTCATTAAAATTAAACATGCTATTAAAAAGATACAACATATAAAGGAATAAGACATTGCATTCTATGAACTCAATGATTGTCCAACACCAATATGTTCTCACCAAATATATTATCTTTGAAATTCACCTGTCATCCAAAACCTAATATCCATACAAAAGTACACTCTTCCAATTGATTCTGATAAAAATAGATTCCCACAGATCACTGAAAGTCTTTCACATGCAGAAGGAATAAAATATCTTTATTTTCCCTTGTGGATTATCCATGTGCATAGATGAATTCAGTGTATAGTCAGCTGTACTGTTCTTACTTTGTTAGTAATGAACACTACATAAATTTTACTTAATATGATCCCCTGAAATTTTTTCTTCATTAAAATATAAATTTTATTTTGTTCATTGCTCATGAAAGATATCATAATTTTATTAATCTTAATGGAAAGTCAGCTTATTTTTGCTAAAATTTACAGATACTATTTGCTTTTCAAATATTTGGCTTTTATCATGTTCTGAAATGTCCCAAATTACTGTTCAGGAAATCAGTGGCCAGAATGTTAAGAGATTTGAATTACATGGCTTCATGCCCTTTTAGGCTAGTCACATAAAAGACATTACATTTCTTCTTACTTTGCTTCTGTCTGTCTGTCTCTGTTTCTCTCTCTCTACCTTTTGCCCCACCAATAACTACACATGCAGGTAGGGTCATAGAGTAGAAAAATTACTTTGATCCAATAAGCTACATCCACATTGTTTTCTCACCTTCTAAATCAATGCCTATCAATTTCTGCATCTGAAAAACAAGATGATGCTTCCTGCCCAGTCTACTACAATGCAATGCACCTCCCTGCTTCTATCTTTGTGCTGATAACACGTAAGGTAAATTTTTAGGGTTGATAAGACAGTCCCTTCTTTAGGGATGTGTGAAGAAGACAATGGAAATGTGAGGTGCTGACCTCATAATACTGTGTTTCAAAACACTTGGATGGTTCTACAAGGTCAAAGAATGGTCCTGGTATAAAAGGAGAGAGGGAGGCCAATGGAAGGGAACAGAAAAACCCAGAAATAAAGTCATATGCCTACAACCAAGTCAACTTATCTTAGGCAAAGGGAAAAAATCATATGCTAGGGAAAGGGTGCTGTTCATAATTCAATAAATTATGCTGAGAAAATCACACATGCAGAGGAATGAAACTGGATTCCTATCTCTCACTATGTCCAACAATTAATTCAAGATGGATTAAAGACTTATATGTAAGATCAGAAACAATAAAAATTCTAGAGAAAACATGAGTTAAACTCTCTGGACACTGGCCTAAACAATGACCTCAAATGCAAATGTGGCAAAGATAAAAATAAACAAATGGAACTAAATTAAACTAAAAAGCTTCTGCAAAGCCAAAGAAATAATCAACAGAGTAAACACACACCTAAAGTATGGGATAAAATATTTACAAACTATTTACATACTAAGTGTCTGACAAAGGACTGATATCCAAAATCTACAAGAAATTCAAACAACTCAGTAAGAAAAAGAGCATATAACCCCATTAAAAAATGGCCAAATGACATGAACAGGCATTTTTCAAAAGAAAATAAATGAATGGCCTGCAAGCTAATGAAAAAAAATGTTCCCAAATTGTTAGGGAAATGCAAATTAGAAAACACAAGATATCATCTTACTCTGGTTAGAATGGCCATTACTAAAAAAGCAAAAAACAACAGATGTTGATGTGGATATGATGAAAAGGATACACTTGTACACTGTCAGTGGCAAGATGAATTAGTAAAACCTCCATGGAAATGAGTGTGATGATTTCTCAAAGAGCTAAAGTAGACCTAGCATTTGATTCAGTAATCCCCCTACTGGGTATCTACACAAAGGAAAAGTAATCATTATATTAAATAGATCTGCACTTGTATGTTTATTGCAGTACAATTCACAGTTACAAAGATATGCAGTCAACCAGTCAACCTAAGTGCCTATCAACTGATGAGTCGATAAAGAAAATGTGGTGTATATATACACACCATGGAATGGTGTATAATGAATGAATGAAATAATGAGAAATGAAATTAAATAATAAAGAATGAAATAATGTTTTTTTGGTAGCAATTTGAATGGAACCAGAGGCCATTATCCTAAGTGAAGAAAGTTAGGAACGGAAAAAAAAAAATTACTGTGTGTTCTCACTTATGTGTGGCAGCTGTCCTATAGCTATGCATGACCAGGCAGAATAGTACACATATAATGGACATTCAAAACTCAAAAGGGTGGAGGGTGAGAGAATGGTGAGGGATGAAAAATTATCTATTATGTACAATATGGACTATAATAGAACTTCTGTAAGTTGACCACCCAAGGGACTGTAACAAACAGGTCAACATACAAAGGGGGTCAACATAAGGAACTAGGTATACAGTACTGATACGTGCATGTGGTACATGTCTGGTCTATGAATATTAGGTCAACTTAAGAAGGTGGTCAACTGTGGAGGATCTACTGTATTTGGTTAATGGGTACACTAAAAGCTCACTATACTATATATACATAACAAAACAAACAAAAAGACCAGGCAGAGTGTGCTGGTAAGTCACAAGGAAGCCATCATAGATACCACCTTTAAGAAGGCATGCCCACTTTAGGAGACACGTCAGTAGGCTTGCTATTTTATTCTGCATTATGCAGAAGTCAACTGTTGAGTTCTGAGAAAATTGATTTAGAATAAAATTGCAAAAGTGGTGAACTACATTCTATCAGACCTAAGTATATTATCTATAACCCAGCTTGGATTTATGTGCAGGATATCATACTGATACATATGTCATAGACTCAGAGCCATTAGCAAGAATAAATTTTTCTATAATTCTTAATATTTGCAAATCCCCCAGCTAATAATAAAATTCATCTCTTTCAAACATTCAGCATGCTGCTGCCAAGTCAAATTTGTAATCAATTTGAGCTTTATATATTCTTAGCCTCATTTGAATATTATAAAACCAAAAAATAGATGGAGAATAAAATGAGAGAGCAAGTGTACTGTGGAGTCCTACATTAATTCATAGCTCTTAAAAATACACGAAGAGGAAGGGCAGAGGGATAACAGTAATGGAAGTCTATGCCATGACAGTACAGAGGCCATCTGTGGCGGCCTTCTAGCACATGAACACAGGGACTTGGATTCTGCATCTCAAACTAATCTCTCACTGATCTTATTTACCCAAAATGTCTTATGTTATTGACATACTCTTGCTATCTTCCTCCAAATCAATCCATTCATCTGATTACTGTGCTTTATACATTAACAAAAGCAGATTTGTCATGATAATAAAAAGGATTCGTTCTTGCTCTTTGACTAACTCTTTTCTGAAAACTAGTATTCTCATCGTATACCAGATACTGAAAGAGATCCTTTATCCAGTTGCCTGTTAGGGGAAAAAGACAAAGTTCAACATTGTGGTAGACAAAATATTGGTCCCTCAAACATGTTCATATTATGAT